GGTTTATGAAAGGCAGTTCCTGCTTGACAAACCTGATCTCCTTTTATGACAACGTGACGTGCTTAGTGGCTGTAGATGTGGTCTACCTTGATTTCAGCAAGGCTTTTGACACCGTCTCCCACAGCATTCTCCTCAAGAAACTGGCTACTCTTGGCTTGGACTGCTGCACGCTTTGTTGGGTTAGAAACTGGCTGCATAGCCGGGCCCAAAGAGTTGTGGTAAATGGAGTCAAGTCCAGTTGGAGGCCGGTCACTAGTGGTGTTCCCCAGGGCTCGGTGCTGGGGCCGGTCCTCTTCAACATCTTCATCAATGATCTGGACGAGGGCACTGAGTGCACCCTCAGTAAGTTTGCAGATGACACCAAGTTAGGTGCGTGTGTCGATCTGCTCGAGGGTAGGAAGGCTCTGCAGGAGGATCTGGATAGGCTGCACCGATGGGCTGAGGTCAACTGTATGAAGTTCAACAAGGCCAAGTGCCGGGTCCTGCACCTGGGGCACAATAACCCCAAGCAGAGCTACAGGCTGGGAGATGAGTGGTTGGAGAGCTGCCAGGCAGAGAAGGACCTGGGAGTGATGGTGGACAGTCAGCTGAATATGAGCCAGCAGTGTGCTCAGGTGGCCAAGAAGGCCAACGGCATCCTGGCTTGTATCAGAAACAGTGTGACCAGCAGGGCTAGGGAGGTGATCGTCCCCCTGTACTCGGCTCTGGTGAGGCCGCACCTCGAGTACTGTGTTCAGTTTTGGGCCCCTCGCTACAAGAAGGACATGGAGGTGCTTGAGAGGGTCCAGAGAAGGGCGACGAAGCTGGTGAGGGGCCTGGAGAACAAGTCCTACGAGGAGCGGCTGAAGGAGCTGGGCTTGTTCAGCCTGGAGAAGAGGAGGCTCAGGGGCGACCTTATTGCTCTCTACAGGTACCTTAAAGGAGGCTGTAGCGAGGTGGGGGTTGGCCTGTTCTCCCACGTGCCTGGTGACAGGACAAAGAGGAATGGGCTAAAGTTGCACCAGGGGAGTTTTAGGTTGGATGTTAGGAAGAACTTCTTTACCGAAAGGTTTGTTATTGGAACAGGCTGCCCAGGGAAGTGGTGGAGTCACCATCCCTGGAGGTCTTTAAAAGACGTTTAGATGTAGAGCTTAGGGATATGGTTTAGTGGAGGACTGTTAGTGTTAGGTCAGAGGTTGGACTCGATGATCTTGAGGTCTCTTCCAACCTAGAAATTCTGTGATGCTGTGATTCTACCCTCACTGATCCGTGATCCCAACTCAGAAACATTAAACCATAGCTTTTGTCAGAGCACAGACAACAAAAAAGCTCCCAGAAGACAGACTACATCATGCCCTGTTAGGAAGTGTTTGTTGGACCCTGCACTAAAAACAATTATTGTGCAGTGTGTACCATTGTTCATCTCCTTCTAATTTTCAGTGGCATCTACTACAAATGCAAGGCCCATAGCAATACACAGGTTTTGGTTACAAGCAAAAAGAGGATCAATAAATGTGTCTTGCCTCCTGAATCCCCTGCCCCACCTAACAAAAAAGATAGAAAAAGAGACATGACTAAAAAAGTGTGTTAATTCTTGGGAGAAAATGCAGTAGTCTGTCCAGAGCTATGATGAGAACCGTATCATCAAGTACACTTTAATTTACATGGCTTGTATGTTACAGGCGCAAAGTATGGCTTGTTACTTATATCTTCCTACCCCCGAGATCTGCACGTCCTCTCAGATCATTACAGAAGCCCCAAGGCAGAGAGCAGGACTCAACTGCATGGTATGTGTCCAGTGCTACAGGGCTCAGGGCATGCCTTGGGCTTCTTCTCAGTGCTTCCAAAATGTGAGCAGCATGAAGCTGCTATGGTGTAGGTTATGAAAGAAAAAGGGAGGATAGCACTTGGACAATCTTTTCAAGAAAATATATCAAAAAGTGTAGGTTTTTAAAGGGTTTTCATACACTTGTATAAATCTAAGTTTTATGAATGTAGGTGTTAGAAAACACTACAGCAATAGCAAATTAAAGATATAAATACCTACTGTCTTGTAAAATGTTTTCTGTTATAGCTTGCAACTTGTCACATTTAAGACCAACCGCAGGTTTTTTCTAGGCTTTCTACTCATAAAGCCTGCTCCACATGGTCAACGAGAACAAATAAATTTAACATTTAGAACTTTTGTTCACGGGTATAAAGTCACAAGGAGGGCGCAAGAGAAGTATGTAACAAGCTTTGCAGCACCATTTCTATAGTCAGCTCACCAAATGCTAAGAAAGTAGCAGTACAAGAAAATTGTCAGTCATGCCCAATAAGTAAGATAAGGATGCAATGGCTGCTCCTGTGCTCTTTGAACTGTGGATGGATGTTCGTACAATGAATTGAAGTGACTACACAGGAGCACAGTCTGAAACACAAGTCTTGTAAGCTGCCTCTGAATGAGCTGGTGTTAGCAGCTGTAGGAACAGCAGAAACATCCCAGTGGCAACAGAAGTAAGCTCTGTTATCTAAGAGGCTATGGAACATACATGCGCCCCAAGGTCATCTTTACAGGTGAAATCTATAGTCAGCCTTGCTTCTGGAAGGGACCAGCATGACCAGCACCCATAACAACACACTGACCAAATCTGACGACTCTTAATGCTGCTGTCCATGTCAGCCTCTTGCAAAACAAAGTTAAAAAATAAGTAATAATTATCTATAGGATACCTGTGAGCTTGGCAAGGCCTTTTTATACTTTAAATCAAAACAAGTTCTTTTGCCATTTCGGTATATGCAGAAACTCAGAGTTTTAATGCACGTTGCTCAAAAGACTGTAGTAAGTCCTTTTTCCATTGCTAAGTGTCACCTTACGCTAGTGTCAAGGCACCTAAAATTACTTGATTCCTTGAGAGTTACCATGCAATCTTCTCCATTCCTGGCTAATCAATATCATTGGGAGCCACATGTAAATGAGATGTTTTTAGAAACCCGATGAAACAAGGCTGGTTTGAGAATAAGATTTGTATTAGATTAGTATACACAGTATAGATCAGATCCTGGTGAAAGGCATATTCATGCCTGTTCTCTGTTAAAGGTTTCCCAAGCTCGTTCTTATCCATAATTCTTTATTTTCAACTTTGCTTGGAACTCTGTTTATTCATCTCTTGCTAGACATTTTTTTTTCAAATGCTGGTGTCCTGGTTTCAGTTAGAACAGAATTAATTTTCTTCCTAGTAGCTGGTGGAAATTCAGAACAACTGAACAACGTCAGTGCTACCTGGAATATTTCTTTTTTTTTTTTTTTTTTTTTTTTTAAATACCTTGAAAGAATAAGGAACTATATACTCATCAACTCCCAGGGCCCTGCCATAGTAGTAGCTGGCTTTATAAAACAAGTGAAATCTTGCTTGAACTCCTGGGTCCATCCTGCCTGCTTCCAGAGACCTGAGGCTCGTGCAACTCACTTGCACAAGCTACGATCTGCTCTTCTCAGGCCCTCAGTAACTGGGCCCACAACAAAAGCTTCACCAGCAGTTCCAGCAAGCAGTCACTGCCATCGGGTAATTATCCCTATTGCTCCCCTTGCTGACTCTCTCATTGACTTGCCCATCTCTTCCCTCCCCAGACACATTGTGCTAGTATTCTAGTATTACACCGCCAAGTACTGTGCCAGGGACACTACCTGGCTGAAAAGTAACTCTGTAGAGGGTGTTTCTTCTCGGGTGGGGGGGGGAAGCTTGAAAGGGGGAGGGTCTTGGCTATTTTCCAGCCAGTTCAGTTTCATTATATGATTTCCTGCATGATTTCACACAGATGGGACAGCAGGGGGAATGCAATAAGCATGCGAAGTGCTTAAACCAGCATAAAAGAAAGAAGTGTTGCTGGAATATTAAAACAGCTTTTGGGTGAACCTGGTTTTGGCTAGGTACAGATCTTGAACAGGCAGTTTCTTAGAGGAAAACAGAAGCAAGAAAGCATTCAAGTTTTCTATCATTTCCTTTCCTTCCTAAGTCTCACTCCACGATAATGCAATTTAGTAATTTCTTGCTTCTCACCTACTAGATGAGACTGCAGTGCTTTCAAGATAAGGTAATGAATAATATAATAATAATAAAAATAAAAATAAAAAATAATATAAGAAAAACAGTATCATTTTCAATTTTAGCAACAAAATAAACATGTAAATCCAATCCCTGGCAAAACACAGAAAATTCAGTGATAAAATCTCTACAAGTTAGACTTAAGGACAAAAGTAATACACAGGAGTAACATACATAGGAAACGGTCCCTGAACTTTTTTACTCCTGGTTGGTTTGTTGCTGGATTTGTTATGTCTTTTTTTTTTCTTTCTTTTCTTTTTTTTTTTTTTTTTTTTGTGTGACTCCCACAATTCTTTTGGGACACAGCTTCATGTATTTCTTATAATTTGAGCAGTCTCCTTCCACATGATGTGGACAGTTCCAAATAAACAGTGGACCGTGGCATTATCAAATTCCAGCTGTTCCTTAACTCTTACCCTATACCTTCTTGAATAAGGTCTCGCTTAAATGCAGACAATCCTAGAACAAACAATTGCTTTCCACTTAAATGCTCCATCTTAGTGCAAAATTACAGGTCCATAAGTCTAAAACATGAATTTTGTAGAAAACAAAAGCATCCAAAATTCAAGTTAGCTTGAATGCCATAAAAATCTCATCCAGCCAAAAATGCCAGCTGCCTTTATGAAAAACAGGCCACAAATCCCAAAAGCACAGGCAAGCATCTGATTTTCTGTTAAGTGTTAGTATTTACAAGAGCGGGTTTGGGGTGGAGAGGCATATTCCATCCTACTTCATCTGTTGGCTCCAAGGAATACTAATGATTTGTACAATCCACACAAGGACTATCAACAGAGCTGCTGTAAAATCACATGGTTACAAGGAGACTTTTGAGTGAATAACTACACGTCTGAGACAACTCCTTCATTAAGAGCATCACCCTACAATGTACATGTGTACTTCTTCACACCATTTATCAGTGTATAACAAATTCATTACCTGTTACAATAGGATATGACTGAGGTCCAGGAACGCTTGCTCCTAAATCTGCAGAAGTAGGACTGGTTATATTGGCCTTCATGTCATCCAATCCACCAGCTAATGATGCCATGGCTGAGTATTCAGTTGCCTGGAAAAAGAAACAAAAGACATTTTACCAATAATAAATTCACTATTCGACAGCTTTTGCCTGTATGGCAAAATGCAATGCAGAACTCTGAAATCTTTTGTTCAGTCACACTGGCTACTTTTAAGGCAGTACGTGGGTAGCGTAAACAGCAGTGTTAAGCAGTCAAAATAATAAATGGGTCTGTTCTTATCACTGGTGTTCTTGGAGAACACCAAAATGAGCTTTCTTTATAAACTGAAAGCCAAACTCACAAATATGTCACAAAGCGTTCTTTAAAAAAGAAGTTTTGTAGACCAAAATGGGGACCATAACTGTCGAGTGTAAGTTATTTGCTTGTTAGAGAGAACTGTTCAAGTCAGTTAACCTGAACTCTCCTTAGTTCATTGGTGGCATTTGAAGAGACACACACTAATGAACAGGTGGGAATAGAGGGGTCCAGTTTCCAGTTTCACTTAGGCATACTTCATTTCCTTATAATTTCATAAGAAATAGTTTGCACTTAAATAAAAGCACTTGCTTAATTTGTAGCCAACTGTTTCAAAATCCAAATTATTTAAAAATAAATAAACTGACTGTTGTAAGGGTGCTCTCTCATCTCATGGTAATTCTTTAACCTCATTAGCTGAAGCTACAGTAAATGAGCACAGGTCCTCAGAAGTCAGAATCCTTCTCTCCTATAGCTCTGTCAAAGTCCATGTAGCTATGACAATCTAAAGCAGGTGAGGTCAACTCACACATCCAGAAGGACTTCCATATACATGGCAGAAAGCTCATCTTCATTTGCCCATTTGCCTTTTTCCTTAATTTTTTATTAGTGGTATCATTCACAAAAATGGGAACTTTCAAAGTTTTCCCTTCCCTATTGCTATTTCCACTTTAAATTTTAATCCCTTATTTGAGAGATTGTAATCACATACACAATAATCAGATGATTATGACTTCAAGTGAAGAACAGGCAACAGAAGCAGACAAAATTAGTAACAACTCCAAGGCTGATTCCCACTGTATTAATGCAGATGTCACTGTGCAGAGCTGAAGTTAAGAGTTATTACTTAAGCCCTAAGTGATTTTTTTGAGCAAACAAATCAAAATGTTAACTTTTTGTTTTGTTTGAATTTACTTTGAGGAAAAAAAACATGTCTTGTGTGAATACATTTTTCTCCTTGAAAGTTTCTTAGAATGCACACAATTTGAGATTTGCTACAAGCTGAGTACTTTGGGTCAAATATACCTGTTTGTGTCTCCGTTGCTCAGTTCTTACTTAAGCTGAACATAATTTAACTTGATAACCTATTAGTAGTAGGTTTATATTGATCAAAGCATGCTTCATTCAAGGATGCAACCTGTGTGAGGCACAAGCACCCCTATCTCCTTGAAAGATCTCCCATACGAACCTCTTCCAGATGAGTGTGTCAAATGTGTTTTGCCAAAGTGAATAGCTGCTGGCCACCCTCTCTCTTCACCCTGCTCATGGATCAGCACTGCAGGGTCCTCTGGATCAAAGACTCTCATCAAGGACTTCTCATCAAAGACTCATCATCATCTCCATTCTTCCCTTTGCATTAGATTTCTCCTATTCCTCAGCCTTTTCAGCTTATTCCTCCTCCAAAACTCCCCTCACCCCCATGTTTTCCTTGCCTTCATGAGCTCAGTCTCTTTCTTCTAACACTGTTGCCTCAGAGATATGCACTGCCTGCACCTCTGCTTCAGCTCTACTTCTGCACCTTGGCAATCCTTGCCCTTTGGGAAGACCTTTGGGAGGAGCAGCACTCCTCTATGCTGTCACCAGTGCAACCAAAGTTCTTTGGTCTAGTCTCACATCCTACCCAAAAAAAATCATCACAGAGACCCTGTTTCGTCTGCCAGGCTGCCCACGGGCCCTGTCCCTCGCTGCAGTACTTGCTCTGTGTGGAGCAGCCAGCCTTCCCACGTGGCTCCAGAGTCCTGTGTCTGCAACCCCACTTGGGGATGTGCATACTTAGCAGCATACCTGAACTTTTTAGCTTCCTGAAGCCCTGACCTGAAAAGAGACTGGATGAACAAAGCATGGCTGAAGTTCTGCAGAGACATTGCAGGCAGCTGGTGCTGTCCTTGCAGCGTGGGATGTGCAGGAAGCACAGCAGGGAGAAAGCTGTCCTGCTGCCTTACATTGGGGATGGTACTTCTGCAGTCTGGAGAAAAGCACACACCCGTCCCTAGGGAAAGGACTCCTTGTTTTACTCCTGCTGCTCTAAGAAGTTGTAAATGCACTACGTTCAGACCTGGCAATCTCTTCAGAGCTTCCTACATTTCTTTCATCTGCCATGAAGCAGAGTGTGAATGTGGTTTCACACTGTTGAAGGGGAAGCTGATAGTTTGGGCTCAGCTGAGAGAAAGCACACTGCAGTGCCACATGCTGGGTCACACACAGCCCCCTACAGCCAAAAGGTGCTATAGGGGCTGCTACTCCTTGCTCAAACCCAACTGAGAACAGCCCAGGACCCCACCTGAAAAATCCCTGCCATGAGAGCGCAGAGCATTCTGCAAAATGTCAAAACATTGCAGCTTTCTTCAGCTTTGAGGTCCTAGTAACTGACCTGGAGGACACTGTAACAGGAACGGGTCTCACATTTTAACTGTAGTGATCTGAAAACACCCCATCAACTAAGCGACAGCTGGGCTTTTCAAGCTGGGAGGGATTTACCCGTTTTCAGTAGCAGAAGCAGATAGCTAGAAGGGTATAGCACACTCTGCTGGGAGCAAGGACAATGGCATACCCGTGCTCTGTGTCACCCTGCACAGGGAGCAGGAACCTGATGGTGTGTGCACCACGGGAGGAGATGGAGGCCAGCCTGCACCTGCCTGCTATGGAGGTAAGAATACCGGGATTTTCAGGGATTTTCCTGTTTTTCCCACGGCAAAACCATGCCAGTATCCTTCCTCGGAGCCACCAGCCAGGCCAAAGAGCTGCAGATGAGCAGATGATCTGGGGCTTGCAGACACCACGCCAAACAGACACAAGCCCATTGCTGCTCCAGACCCACCACAACTGACTCACAGCCACATCGTCCAGGCCAAGGTGAGCCCATTAAACACCTCTGTGGTCAAAGCACCTACCACAAGGCACTCAGGGGGCAGCCAAGGCCAGCACCAGGCTAATGCAGCAGCACTAGTCAGGAGGAGGGCAGGCAGCTTTGGGAAGAGAAGGAAGCGTGCTGCTGCAGAAGGTGTCTCTGGTCGCCAAGCTGTGAGATGCTGTAACCAGCCCTGTGCTCAGCACTTTGAAGAGAGGTCCCCATCCCTTGGAGCAGACCTGCAGGACAGCAGGCAGCCAGGGGATGAACCCTGCAGCACAGGGGGCTCAGAATTTGGCTTCTCCCCTTCTACGTGTGAGCCAGCACTGCTGGCAGTGACAAGCGGCCCAGGTGTGACCATGGGGCCTCTCCCTCTGCAGCAGGAAGCCCGACCTGCTTGGTAGGTGAAAAAGCAAGAGTCGGGTGTTCAGTACCCTAGAAATTACCTGAAAAATGACTGCCTGCGGTTGTACCACGTACTGTCTCATCAGCATGGAGCACCACTGCCATAGCATGGAGGAGAGAAAACACAGACATGTGAAACGAGGAATATATAAAAGGGGAGAGACTGAGGACAAACTGAAAGGAGAGGCCAGACAGGGTCTCATGCTCGCCCTGCCCCATCCCTTTTGGCTCAGGAGGACCTGGTGCTGGGCAAAGGAGCTGGACAGGGGAGAAGCCGGGGTGGTGAGGAGAGGGGTGGCCACTTTGTGTGCAAGGGCAGCAGCCCACCCTATGCCTCACGCAGGAGCGTCCACACGGTGCTTTCCCTGCCAACCTTCATTGTGTGAAGATGGGAAAGGTTCTACTCCAGCAGAAGTTTCACATCCACCTTAATCTCAGAGGCTTTATTTCCAGGTATTTCCTCTGTGGCACCCCTCGCCCACATCTGTGCACTGGCATTGCCAGCAGCACTGAGATGTGTGGGCAGTCACAGGCCGGTGCCTTCCCTCACGTGGTGTTGGGCAGACTCTGTGGCACCAGGGCACTTGGTAGGTGTCATTCACAATCTCTCTCTAAGTACCATCCCATCCGCTTTATGGAAGGGGAAATTGAGGCAGAGTCCCACATTTATAGGAATAATTGTGCCAGGGGGCACTTTTCAGAAGTCACTGGGGCCAGGAGAAATAACTGGAGTGCGAGCTGGGTGTCTGTGTCTCTTCATGGCGTGCAGTAGGTACTGAACCAATTCTCACAGCAAGTACCTACAGGGGGAAGAGCTCCCTCCACACCCTGCATGCAAATACCCATCACCAGCCCATGGGGATGTGAACACATGAGGATGAGGAGGAAACAATCAACTTTTATGCATGGATTACAACCTTCTGTAGAAAACACGTGAAACCACCTGCTGTGTCCATGCCAATTCTGCTGCCTTCAGTTTCTCAGCTACACATTTAGAGGGACAACCTCAGTCAACATGAGCTGACAGAGCATCCTGAACCGCAGCAGCTCACAGGAGCCTTGTACCCAGCCCTATCTTTCACACCTTATTGCACCACCAGAAGACAAGCTGTGGCATGAAAGATATTTGTGGGAGGTGGTGGAGGCGATGAGCATATGTTGGGAAAAGAGGTGCAGGAGTACTTTGGTACTGTTCACAAATTATTTCAGGGAGGTTGTGGAGTCTCCTTCTCTGGAGATATTCAAGGCCCGTCTGGATGCCTACCTGGGCAGCCTGATCTAGGGAACCTGCTTTGGCAGGGAGGTTGGACCCGATGATCTCTGGAGGTCCCTTCCAACCCCTTCAGTTCTGTGATTTTGTGATTCTGTAACATACACAGCGTGGCAGAAGGCACACTGGCATCTCCCGTGGCACCACAGTAAAGTGGTGAGATAACCCACCACTGGCTTCACCCTATACTTTCTCTAACAAAGATGCCTGAGTATAAATCACCAGAAGGTCAACAGACCCTACAGATAGAGCCGCTGTCTCTTCACGATATATCCAGAATAGACAAAGGAGGGCATGTAGTGGGGAAAAAAGGCATTCCCTAAAACAGCCCAGTGCTGGGATCCAGCATGGGAAACTTACAGAGGTAAGGGGGGGATTCTTCTGTGCAAGGGTCTGGGGTTAGCCCTGCAGCAGTGCTGCAATCCGGGCAGTGCTAAGCAAACGCTCCCTCTGCTCCCTCTTCCCCGCTTCCAGTGGCACAGACCCTGCACCCCCCTCATGAGACCACTTCAGGAAAAGACAGAAAAGAGGTGCCTGCTACACAGGGAAAGTGACTATCCAAAGGAGCCAGCTGGCATCCTGTGGGACTTGCACATGTTGCTTTTGCATCTGCTCCGTTTTCCAAATCACACCTGCAAAAAAAACAAGCAGGCATAAAGCAACGTGCCTTGTGCCTTCCTGCTACTCGCATGGCTGCCTTCAGACCAACAGTGTTGCTTGGCATGCAGCACCTAAAGAAAACCCCTGCCTGACGCAACACAACGGTGGCTTGGGCTGCCAGAGCACAGCACCAGCCTGGGGGCTTCAGGGCTTGGCGCTGCTTCGGTGCCGATCGTGCTTGCTGCCTGCCTCTCCCGAGCAGACCAGCTGGCAGTGAGACAGGGATGTCACAGGGGGCCTTCACTGCTCAACACAGCTTTTACTGTTCAGGGCAGACGCTGATCTGAGGTCTCCTTAAAGGTGTAGGGCTGTCCACTTGGTCACTCAGCCGAGGTCACAGCTCTGCTAATCCATTGTGGCAGCAGCAAGCAAGAGCTCATACTTAACAGATCCAAGTCATCCTGTCGTAATACTTTCAAAATTAATAAAGAAAGGCAGAACTAGCAGCCACCAGGCAGGCTTTCTAGTGAAACCCCCACACCAGCCTCACAAAGGGAAGAAATTCGTAACATTAGATATGGTTCGGAGAGCTTAATCCAAAGCAGCTTTAATTAATCTCCCCAGGCTTTCAGAAACTCGGTGCCACATGCAGCTGCACGGGCACTGGTGCTATTCGGTCTTAAATTTTATGGGAATGGGAAATTCATTCCGAAGCCCTCCTCCTCAACCGCCTCGGATTTGGACTGGAAAGGCATCTGAAAAGCCATATATCAAAGCCTTGTCGCTGCCACCCCACCAGCCACCCCTCCATTTTATAATTTACATCACATTTCCTGCTCTACTCACTGCTATCACTGAAACTAATTCTGGTTTGGAATAAAACCCATTTACACAGCTAATTGGAGCTGTACTCTAATTTATCTTTTTTTGTTGTTTTGGTTTGGTTTGGTTTGGTTTTTGGTAGCATTTGGCTCTTACTCTCTTAAAGGGCATGAAAATTTGATTTCAGTGATAAAGCCTTTTTTCCCTCTGTGTAAACAGAATATTTCTAAAACTCCCTTTCACAAAAGAAAAAAAAAATGTTAAAAATAATAATAACAGCAGTGCTTCATTTTAACCCAAATCCAATTAGGATTGTGTAAATCCCCAGAGATTCTTCTGAAAACAAGGGGAATTAGTACACCCTGCCATGAACACAATTGCCCTCATACTTCAGAACAGCTGACTGGCTTTTGACCTAAATCTTCAGATTATCTGCATGTGGGACACTCTACGCTACATTTTACTTTTCCACAGTGAGATCCATAAGCAGACGAGCCCATTCTCAGATTTTCCAAAGGGATCCCCAAATCCAATCTAAATGCCTAGAATTTACCTGGTTTTCTTTTATACATATAAATAACTGCATTTCCATTCGCTCTTTGTTTCTCATTTTCATTTTCTTCTAATATCTGCATGTAAATGTCTGAAAATAGCATCTGTAATTGAAGATTATGAAGTATAGCCAGCTCCTGACAGGCTGCTAAGGAAGATGGATTATCCTCATTTTTCTGTAAATTTTGTCAATTTTGGAATTCATAAGCTATCAACACTGATCAAAATGTGAACACACAGCTGTGTCAAAGAGAAAGGCGCAAGGACATTGTGGCTCTTGCGTTCCCTCAGAGGCTGGGTCTCCTGACCCTCCCCCAGCCGGAGCCGAGCACGGTGCAGGGATTATTCCTGGCCACTCATGGTATTTACCCCCCCTCAAAAAAAAATCAAATAAATAAATTGAAAGTACGCAAATTCTCTTGTGCGCTGATTCAAATCACAAAGCGTAATTTATTGCATGTTCTCCCTTTTTATTTATCCCTAAGTAGTAAACACGATTTCCATTCAGGGGGTTCGTTATGTTCCACTCCTACCAGACAATCACAGCACACTTGAGGCAATTGTTTAGTCTCTTCCTCTCAATTTTCCCATTACTGGGAGTAAGTACTGTTGGGACTCTTTAATAGCCCGACTGCAGCCCATATCAATAACAGATGAGGTTTAATCGTCCAATACAAAAATTATTTAGGCTCAGTAAGGACATTCAATGTCATTTGCATAATGGCATTCCTATCCTGAGCACCCAACCCATCGTGCATAAACAAGGCCCTGGGACTATAAATAATAATAAATCATGACGTCCATGCTCCTCTTGCTGTAATAGGAGCCTCTCTTTGTAGAAATTATTTCAGCAGGAAATGGGCACTGCAATTTTAAAGACGTGGCATTCCACAGACCAGTAAATCACACTCGCTCACACACACACGCGTGCACACCCTCCACAGAGGCTGCCCATGGTGAACAACAAAACCCCATGAAACGGCAGCACAGAAAACAACCAGCACTTGCGGCAGAAAATGTTCTTTTGTTGTTGTTTTGTTATTTTTCTAAGCAGAACTAGCAAATTGAATAAAACCAAGGTCTGAATAGAGTGAATTGTGCCTAGGCATGCATATGCAAGGCTGACTGACTTCATTTCAAATTTGAATTGTGACCTGTCTCCAGCCTCAGAGATTACCTAGAGCAAAATTAACTACAGTAGGAAGCAGTTATTTCCAACCAAAATGAGAAGTGCATAACTAGACATGTCTGCCTGGATTTAACGAGCAGAGCCACATGGGATGCTCTTCCACTGCCTCCAGTGGGAGTGCTCAGCTGGGCTGCTTTTATTCCCAGCCGTGCAGAAGCCTGTGGAGCTGAGGCCAAGGAGCAGCTGACCTCGGGGAAGGAGACTCCTTTCCAGGGTCACCGTGTGGTTTGTGGGATGTGCCAGTCCCCCATCCCTGGGCGAAGAGGGGGACTACCAGGCCTATTGGACAGCATGCAAAGGCCTTTCAGCATTGGAAAAGATGGCTGTGGATGTAGCACAAAACCAGCCAAAAAGGAAGGCTGGGGCCACAGTCACTGCAGGCCACACTGTCAGACCTGGGTCTCTCTATAACCTGTGGTGAAAAGCATCCCTGACTCCTAGTGAGATGCCCACAGCAACACCACCACCGCATATCAGGTAAGAAAAGGAAACTAAGTCTGCTGCCTGGCTGTCTCTTGCCCTCAGCATCTTCGAACCTCTTCTGGAAGGCTTGGTGGGAAGAAAGCAAAGGCCTACACATGCTTCAAGACATTTTTTAACGAAGCCTTTCGTAGATTCATTAAAAGCACCAGTCACCTGCCTGGGGCAGAGAAAGCCAGCAGTCT